TATTGTTAACTAAAACTGAAAATAAAACTATTATTAAATAAAAATATTCAAAAAAAATTTCTCAAAATAAATATTACACTTAAAAAAAAGAACATTTTGACAGTTGAATTTTAGTTTCGGAAATAAAAATAAAGCTAAACAGAAATACAATAAAACAATTAATTCAAGTGACAAAAACACTAAAACTAAAATTTAAATGAAAATTAATGCTAATTCAAAATTGTAATGAAATCTTATAATAATATATAAATAATTCTAAAATAACACTATTATAGACAAAACAGAGAAAAATATTGGCTGCTGGTTATTACTTAAGTTACTTTTTCAGCTGACCTGTTTTCTAACAATTTCCAGCAAAAACAAAGAAAACTCACTTAAAGGCATCCGGTTAATGAAACGGAAGAGACATTCCATCATCTGAGTTCGGACAAGTTCAACAGGCGGGTCTTCGGCTATCCAATGGAAGCGGTCTGTCTGTATCGTGTCTCGGAACAGTGCTGGGTGGTTAGTGGTTGGACCCTACAAGAGACGCCATATTTTAGGAATCAATCGACCTGAAAAGTCATCTGTGGCCTTTTTTTAGTTCAATAAATTAAGTAACTCACCAGAAATACAGCACCGGTTGTGATATCTTTATCAACTACAAACCAAGGATCTACCTGTCCTCCTATTCTAGCCCTCTGACCCAGCGTTAATGTGAACCAGCCTTTGGCGAAATACAGTAATCAGTCTTACAGTATCACAGACACCATGGAGGAGAATATGAACAATTATTAAATTAATAGCCACCTTTATGCTGCCCCATGATCTTCCCATCTTCAACGGAGACAAAGTTTCCCGGTTTGGGCTCTATGTACTTTAATAAATTTGACATAGACTTGAAACAGTACTAAATTAAGAGACTGCAGTATATATTGAATAATGGCAATGACCAAAACACAGTCTGAAAATCAGCTTTTTAAAAAATGTTGATTGATTATATGATGTTTGGCCATTTTTGCAACCCTGTTGCCAAAATGTGGAATACAGTTTATATATCCGAGCTTTACATTTTAAAAACATATAAATAAAATATCAGAATAGGTAACAGGGTTGTAAATTGAACCTATAGGTAGGGATGGATAGTTTAGGGCCAAATGTTGGTTTGTTATTGATGATCTAAGGCCCTGTCCACACGAACGCGGTTATTTTTAAAACCGCATCTTTTTCTAGCGGTTTCGCGGTTATCTCTGCCTACTGGAAACTTTTTCAGGCTTCTGATTGGCCAACATGCCTTTACGGTTGAGATTATATCTCCACCTATTGGTTTGGCATGCTCTTGACAGTGATTCATGGCATGCGTTTGCATTTTCAAATTCATGGCATGCGTTTTTAAAAATACCCGTGTACGTGTGGACATGGCCTAATATTTATAAAAGTGTTTTACATTTTAGAGTGGCCTTTTATTGTGGCCAGCCTAAGGCACACCTGTGCATTAATCATGCTGTCTAATCAGCATCTTGCTATGCCACACCTGTGAGGTGGATGGATTATCTCGGCAAAGGAGAAGTGCTCACTAACACAGATTTAGACAGATTTGTGAACAATATTTGAGAGAAATAGGCTTTTTGTGTACATAGAAAAAGTCTTAGATCTTTGAGTTCAGCTCATGAAAAATGGGGGCAAAAACAAAAGTGTTGCGTTTATCATTTTGTTCAGTGTATATATTGAACCTGATAAATTCAGTCAACAATTCAATTTGTGTAACAATTCAATAACAACATTTCATCTAACATATAAAAAAGCTTTCAGTTTTCAAAAGAAAGAAGATGAAATTTGTGTTTTTATTGCTTTAAAATTTTTAAAAAAATAACAGGACACCAGTTTGTACCCTGCATCAAACATACCTCAAGGATAAAGTTCTCAAAATCTCTCTCTCCAATGAAACAGATCCCCATGCTCTTTCAGAGAAAACAAAAAATTGCATTTGCATTATATTTAGTCATTGAGCAGACACTTCTGTATCAATTAATCAGATTACATTTAAAATACTGAGCACTACTAAGTGTCACATTTCTTGTGCCAGAAATCTTGGGTCTTGTATAAAAGACTTCATTTAGTACCTCTTTTTTCTTTAGAACATGCTGGAAGCCAGCTTCAGCAGCTATTTTCTTCACAAAGTCTTTGGTTAGCCCAGCTAGGGGAAATATTGTGTGTCGCAGAGCATCCTGGGAAATCTGACTGAGAAAGAATGTCTGGTCCTTCAAGCGATCAGCACCCTGATAGAGCCGCACAGCTAATGAAATTCAGAAGAAGAGAAAAGCTCAAAATACAAACAAATCCCAGATATTTTAAATCTCTTAAATCTCACAAAAACTGCCAAGAAAGGTCCATGTCCATATTTCAACCCAAAAATCAAAACAATGAATATAACATATTTAGCATGAAGAAAAACGTATTTTTACTCTTTTTTTTTTTTTTTTTTTCATTGTGATATTTTCCCATTCTACACACGTATAGAATTTAAAGTATACTTCATGGTGGTATTTGTTTGTAATTTTAATTAAATTCAAATTTGAATTAAAAGAAAATAAATTAATGATAAAATAAAATATACAACTTGTGTCTTCATGATTTTCATTACTTATTCAGAAAAAAATATATATAATGCTATAAACACAATTGATTTTCCTATCCTCTACATTGCATGGACAGATGTTATACGTACGCTTTCTCATTTCAAACCGATCTCTGAAGAGGGTTCTGGGAGGTGGAACCTGCTTCTGTTGAAAAACCTCCTCGTCCTCCTGGGACGTCCGGGCATAGTGTCCCGTTGCCATGGCATCAGCACCTGTTTTCAAATAAGACTGTGATGATGCTAAATATGCAAGACACCACATATAAAAAAAAAAAACTTTCTTGACAGTTTTTGTCAGATTTAAGAGATTTAAAATTATGTGTCCTTAATTTGTTTTGATGTCAGTTGTATCTGTGGTTTGTTTCTAAATCGATCTTTACTCTTCTTCTGAATCTTAGAACTTTTTTTTCTGCTCATATCTTAAATAAGCCCTTAAGAGAGATTCCGAAGTAAAACCATCGTCTAGTTGCATTAAAAATCTACACAATAACAAAAGCACACAAATAAGAGCTTTAAACTGTATTCATTTAAAGGGGTCATATGATGCGATTTCAAGTTTTCCTTTCTTATAAAATCACAGCTCATGCAAGATTTCGTTTTAACCTGGACAAATAACATTTTCTGCATTTTAAGTTGTGGACCCCTTAAACTCAATTAACACTAGGGTTGCAAAAAGGTGGACAATTTCTAGTAAATTTCAGAAAATTCCAGAAATCCCGGAAACTTTCCAGGATTTTTTGGTATATTCCAGGGATTTTTGGAAAGTTTTCGGAAATTTACCAGAAATGTTCCACCCCTCTGCAACCCTAATTAACACTATAACAAATAGGAAAATTTCTGCACCTCCTTTCACTTATTCTTGGTTAAAAAAACGAAGTATCAGTCAAGTCCTATTTTGCATGTATTTTCCTGGAAAACACTACAAGTTCATCAATCCCACTTAACTTACCTAAAGTATTAACTGCATACTGATAGAAGTGCTTAAACTTGATGTGTTTGTTACACATTATGTCTGGATTTGGTGTTCTGCCCTTCTCATATTCCCTAAGAAGATTGCTGCAAAAGAAAGAAAGAATATGAGCAAACTGTGTACAACCTTTTGAATTCAATGATCTTTCAAATATTAACTACTGTAATATTTACCTAAATACTTCATGCCAGTATTCTTTAACATATGAGACCTGGTGGAAAGGCATATCCAGCATCTTACACACTTTATAAGCATCTTCACAGTCTCTCTCTGATGAACAGACCCCTCTCTCATCCTGAGAGTCCCAGTTCTTCATGAACACACCAGTCACATGATAGCCTGAAAGCAGAGAAACACATAGCATATCTGCAAACAAATCATGCTAGTTTGAAACACCAAAAAGTGTCTTCTTGTCTGCAACTCGGCGTATTTAACTTTATATGCATCGTTTTATCATTTTTAAACATAACAGACAGCTTTTTTGGAATGTTTTTCTTTCATGTTATTTTATACATCCACACAAAGCACAACAGAGTTTATGTGCCCAGTGAATGGGACTGTTTATTTCGTAAAAATGTGTAAAATTGTAATGAATTTTAAGTACACTGATATCTTACCCATTCTTTTGAGTAACAGTGCACTGACAGAACTGTCAACCCCTCCAGACATAGCACACACAACATGTCGAACTACACCCATGACATCTATTTTAATATGCGCTCAAATACATTTAATCAGACAAGTAAAGAGAAATTAAGAGACATTTCACGCCGCTGCTATGAAGGTCGCCATAATTAAAGTTCTTTTCAAAATATTGACCGATCGGAAACAAAAGACCAGCACTAACGAAAGCATGGTTCCGGCCATTGCTCTTGGTGGAACTCCTTAAACGGTAACACTGCAAGACGTGTCGCGTTTAAAGTCCACAGAAATATAATAAGCAGTAGAATGGTAATCATAATTTCCAAAAAAAAAAAAAAAGATTAAATAGGCGTGACTTTATGGTCCGAAGGTTATGAAACATTGAACGTTTTGTATACTTTAAAAAATCTAACATCTAACAAATGATATCGCATAACAAATTTCTATAAGCCTATATGTATACAAGCTGCCGAACTTTGTATTTATTCGATTTCAATTATAATACTTTAGCGTAACGTTACAAATACATCAAGTAGGCCTACCACAAATACCTATCAGCATGATATATATTAAACTATAAATTATTTATTTATATAATGCTGATATTTGTTGCATAATTTAAGCATAGACTGTAAAAAAAAAAAGAAAAAAAGAATTTAAGTCCAGACTGGATTCTTTTTTTTTTCTTCTGAGCCATCGAGCTCCCCCTGCAGGAATAAACAGTTTATGCCTCATAGCGATTATTGACTGGTAAAGTGCCACCAAATGATTTTCATATTCATCAACGGGTCTTTCACCGTTGCTTGGTCGTGATAACCACAAATGAAGTTGCTTGCTTAATTTGGAAAAGCAGCTTTCTAAAAGCCAGCATTATATTTTTGGATTACACTTTCGGTTTTACGGTAATACTATCATCCAGAGATATTGTTTGTTAAAGCGGCAGTATAGTGCAACTAAATGCAATTCAACTGTAAACTTTCGGGCTGTTATGTAGAAGTTTTATGGTTGGGAACTTGGGATATACCAAAAGAAACTATTATTTGGCACCATTCGTTTCTGAAAATCTATATTAATGTTGTATAGTAGGATTTGTTTATTTCTCAGTTTTTTTTCCTCCCCTTTTTTGCCACCTCATACAAGAACATATGGTAGAACAATCTAAAGCTCTCCTATGTTCAATGCACTAGCAATCAAAACTAGTTCAGTTAACACATTTGTTAATGAAAACAACAAGACACAATCATTATTTTTTAAATAATAATAAATTATTTAAATGATAAATTAATTCATGTTATAAAACGGATAGTTCCGGTCCTTGATTCTGATTGGTTGAGCCAAGTTCGAAGCTGTTGTAAATTACTCTACAAACATACAGCTTTGTTTACATTTGTGTGTTGCTCGGCAACAACTTTGTTGGAACCACAACCGTTTCTGAGGAACTACATTGCTTAGCGGAATAATAATGTTTTTATTCATATCATTACACTTTATTTGCTCTGTTTTATTTTGTGAAACCTTACTACGTATATGGAATAACCGTTTTATAAAAGCAATAAGCCCCGTGAAGCCGTGGTTTACAGTGAATTTATAACAGCTAAGGGGGGCTGTTATAAAATCACTGTCAAATTCTTGGGGCTTATTGCTTTAATAAAAAATAATTATAAAATAAATCTAACTATAAATATATTTAATCACAACTACTTATATTTATAATTTAAAAATTATATGTATCTATTTTTTTTTTTTTATTTAGCTATACATCTAACAAAGTTTCACTGATCGAGCAAGAACAATGGGAGATGTCTCAGCAGACAGCATTACTATCGAGATGCTCAGAGAGGCATGTGGGACTGTCAGATGCAGTCCGCTGGATGTGATCAACACACCAATGATCCCATGGTCCCAAACCACACTTCCACTCAACAACCCCTGCAACATTCACATCAAACTGGAAAACATGCAGAGGACCGGTCAGTTTGTGCTAATTCTGTTTGCTCTGGTTATGCAATGTAGCGATGTGTAAGCATATCATGTTTCGTTTTCTTTGCCTCTGCCACCAGGTTCATTTAAGATAAGAGGTGTTGCAAACCAGTTTGCCCGGAGACTCAAAGGGGGCCATTTTGTGACCATGTCTGCTGGGAATTATGGAAAGTCTTTTGCATATGCATGTAAGCATTATGGATCCAAAGGCAAAGTGGTGATGCCAGAAACAGCCCCCATCTCCAGATCTGTTCTGATACAAGTATGACACTCTCATGCTGACACGGTTACACTTTTGTCATATTTGAATGTTTGAACAAAATGTGCCAACCATTTGTAGAGTTTGGGAGTTGAGGTTGAAAGAGCGCCAACTCCTCGTCTCATGGATGTTGTTAACCGAAGTGTTCAAGAGGACAGCATGACTTTCCTACATTCCTATGATGATCCGGATCTTATCGCTGGACATGCCAGGTTAAGTACATGTCTGGGATAGATCACCCAAAGCAAGGATATTCTGTCATTATTTACTCACCCTCATGTCGTTCCAATCCTGCATGACTTTTCTTTAGTTGAACACAACAGGAGATATTTTGAAGAATGTTCACATGATTTTGCTCATATAATGAAAGTGAATTGTGACTGTTAAGCTCCTAAAAGAACATAAAGCACTTTAAAGGCATCATAAATGTAGTACACATTTTCTTGCAAACACATACAGCTTTGAATAACATTAAACTGCTGGCTTCCAAAACGTCAGTCGCAACAGTTAAATGTC